TTTCCCCCATTTTTTTAATTCTTTTAATTAAATTATTATGATTGAACTCTTACAAATAATTTTACACAATAATATTAAACTATACTTCTAAATCATAAATATTAAAATGTATAAAACTTCGTAATATTTGACACATTGTTATTATTATTTTTTATGGTACGTAAAATATAAAAAAATTAAATACTGAAGTCTTATTCTTAAATTTCCATGTCTAAAATATAATTCATTCTTATGCTAAAGTTTCATCAATTAAATGAATAAATCTAATTTTTCTTATATTAAATTTTATTGTATTAAAATTGAATTAATATTTGAAATGTTAATAAAAAAAATTAATTTAATTTAATTATTGATATTTGAAAAGTTAACTAAAAACAATTACATTTATTCATTTATAAATCGTTAATTATTTATTTGAAAATTTAACTAAATAAAACAAAATCAAAAATAAAAAAAGGGGGTTAACCCGGCCCAACCCGCAACCTAACCCGGCGGGTTAGGGTTGGCGGGCCGGGTTGGGCCAGCCATTCCCGCAAACATGGCGGGCCTAACCCGGCCTGCCTTTGTTGGCGGGCGGGTTAGGACCAACCCGCCAAAAGTAGTAACCCATCACGGGCCGAGTCGGGTCGGGCCGAGCAGGTTACTTTTCCAACTCTATGTATAATATATAATGTCGAATGGATAACTTTTGTTTCATAGCATTAATATATTATGTATAATATATATATACACAATGTATAATATATAATGTATAATGTCAAATGTATACCATATATAATGTCGAATGGATAACTTTTGTTTCATAGCATTAACACATTATATATATACGGGCCGGGCCAGGGATTTCGAGGCTGGGGCGGGCCGGGGCAAAACTTATCCCGACCCTGGCTCATCCCCGAACCTTCGAGCTAATCTCAGGCCCGATCCCGACCCAAAGCCCTAACGATTCGGAGAAAATCCACCCCGTTCGGGCCGGGTCGGGTCCAGTCCTTGCGAGGCCGGCCTTTGTGCCCATCCCTAGTAGCAACCCACCCACTTCACTACTCACTGCACACCACACCCCTCAGTTGCTCTTCAAAACCCATCCACACACCGTCCACCCCTGCTCGCCGTGCAGCACTGTGATTGTTATTCCATATTTTCGGGTGATTGTTGTTCTGTATTTTCGGATATTCTTGATGTGGCTTGTTTTTTTATGTTGATGGAGTAGTCTGGAGTTTGTATTGAAGTTTGGGTGTTGCTTGATTGTTTATTTGGAGTGTTCTTGTGTTTGTTTTGGCCGGATTAACCCTACTAGTCATCGTCGTTCACTCCTCAACCCAGCCTGCACACCACCTATTCGTTAAAAATCCCCACCCAGCTAACTTTCCCCTCTTACTTTGGTTGGATGGTGAGAAAATTGAAGACTTTTGTTTTAGAAGGGAATTTTTATGAGAATTGTTTTTGGGGAGGCTTTCTTTCGTGACAAAAATAATGTTACCAGAAATGTTATTCCTCAATAAGTACACTGTACATTGAGAAGAAAATGATTAATAAAAAAAAATGAGAAGAACTAATATAAGAAAAAGAGAAGAAAATGTAAATGAAAGGGAGAAGAAGGAGAAGAGGAGAAGAGATGGAAGAAAACGAAAAAGAAATAAAGGAAAAGAAAAGAAGGGTTTTTTTTAATAAAAGACAGGAAGAATAATTTTTTTCCTTAATTTATATTGAATTTGAGTAATACTACACTTACAAAGAAATTTTACAAAAATCTCCATACAAAGTGATGTGGCAAAAAATGAATGGAAGAGTGAATTTAATGAGTTTGACTTTTTGTTTCACTCTTCCATTCATATTTTGCCACCTCATTTTGTATGAAAATCTTTGTAAAATTTCTTTGTATATTGAATTTATATTATAGGAGGGTATATTAGTAATTTCATATTTAAAGAGTGGGTATATTAGTAATTGACATGACATAAAAATAATAAAAATAATTTAAGTTAAATGGTAATGAATATTTTTGTCTTCACAATAAATATCACTGCAGTTATCAGAGTATAACGTTTGGGTAATGAAATGAAATTGTATTTTAAAATGTTTTGGGTGAAAAATGTCATTATACAGTACTATTATTTGGATAGATCTATGAACGCTGTTTCAATGGGATGCATTTTATTTCTCTATGATTTTATTCATACAACTCTCCCTGCTCTTTTCCAAATAAATCATAAAATCCCTCTCCAAAATAAAAATTCTTGAAATTTGATATATTAGTGCAAGTATGATTAACTTAAACTCATACATAATCATGCATGAAGAAAACCATCCTATTCCTAGGTAAAACCAATATAGCACTCTGGTCATCAAAGATTCAACACAACCAAAAACTAAATAAAAATAAAAATTCTACTTCCACCATCCTCAAGCCTCAAGATTTACAAAAGCCTTGAGATTCGTATCCGAAGACCCACATTCATTGGCAGCTTCTCTTGCCAAATCCCTCCATTTCTTGGCATTTTCTCTCAATTCTTCTCTTTTCGCTCCTTCTCCCATCACCAACTCCAAGCAGCTCTTAATCTCATCACTTTTAGCTATCCCTTCTTCGTTCTTACTCTCACTCCCGTCTTCCAAATATCTTCAATCAGTTTAGCGTTTGTCGCTTGATCCGTCCATTGAGAAAACGCCACCACGGGCACACCGCACGCCAATCTCTCCAGCGTTGAGTTCCATCCACAATGCGTTACAAAACATCCTATCGCTGGGTTTGACAATACCTCTACTTGTGAACACCACGGCACTATCATCCCTTGTTGCTCTAGTTCTTCTCTAGATCTGCAACTCATCAATTTATCTTCTTCCTTGTCTTCCTCTTCATTTTGATTTTCTCTTATGACCCACAAGAACGGGTGGGCACTACCGAGCAACCCACGTGCAATCTCCTCCATCTGTTGCTTTTCCAACACGATCAGACTTCCAAACGACACATAAACTACTGATGACTTGGGCTTTGAGTTTAGCCATTCAATATAATCATTTGAACCACGGAATAGATCCGCTTCAAATGAAGTATCGGATGGGTCTTTTCCATCCAAAAATGCAGATGGAATCAAAGGTCAGACTGCTATCATGTTGGATTTATCAATAGCTATTAACGCTTCAGATTCTAACGCATCGAATGTGTTAACGAGTATTTTCGGGTTGCTTTCTTCATGAAGAGCCTCCATTTGCTCCTGAAATGACTCTAATGCATGAGGGTACTTATCTGAAGGGAGTAAAAAAGAAGGAAGATCACAGCTACTGAGTGATGGTAGCCCTGGTAACTCTATTAAACATGAGCCTTTTTTTTGCGTTCTGTTTAATCATATCACCATAACCGTAAAAGTAATAGTAATAGACATCGAAAACCATGGCAGGTTGAATCCAAAGCAGCGCCGAAGGAAGGTTAAGTCGATGAGCCACCACGGCGGCCCAACGCAGAAGTAGAGTGTAAACCAAGCAAGTAAAAGGGTGACCCTCCTTATCGCTGGCGAGGATGAGATCCGTTACGGTTTGGGAGCCACGACGCTTGATCTCTGACATATAGTGTGAGACATCATGATGTTGGGGATTGAACCCATCATCGTAACCATCAGAAAAAGCAGCCAACGACAAGCCATCGGATGTAGAGCATTTGGTCATGGCGGTGGGCAGAGACACTGGTGGCAAAGGTGACACGAGCGCCAATTCGCATAAGACGCTTGGCAAACTGGAGGGTAGGGTTTATGTGACCTTGAGCAGGGTAGGTTACAAGGAGAAAGTGGAGCTGCTTTTGCGCCATGCTTGCAGAAGAGTTTGGTTTTCTGCTTGCATTGAAAAATCAAGAAATGCGTTTGGCACAGAAATTATGTGGAAATTTTTTATGTAACAGATTGAGTTTGAACACTGACGTTTGCGATGACGATTCGTGGGAGGTTTGTGATCTGAAATTTTTGTCTGTTACTCGTCATGGTTGAAGCTCAGATTTTGTTGTCTTTTGTTCTTGTCGCATCTGCAAGTGATATTATAATTTGTGCGGATAGACACCATCATTTCCAGCACGATTGTCATAGCAAACAGCTTACCGCAGTCTTTTTTATACTCAAGTTTAATTGTCAAATGATTTCAATTGCCTTGAAGACAATCAATGACCAATTAAAATAATATTAAACTTGTGGGCTGCTTGGCGATTTTACAGACGAATTTCCGAAGGCGGTTTTATGGACGACCGCTCTTCATTCCAGTGTTAGCGTGTGACATCTAGTCCAATGTGACAATGTCTATACCTGGACCTCGCTCTGGACCAAAGTCAGTAAATTTGTTGCTAATCCACTTTCTATAAAATATTAAACTTGTGGGCAGCAGCTAAAATCCACCCCTTGTTTTGTCGATTTCGATTTTACATACAAATTTCCTAAGGCAGTTTTATGGACTACCACTTCTCATTCTAGTGTTAAGAGTGTAACATGAAAGTCCAATATGTCTATACATGGAACTTGTTTTGGATCAATGCTCCAACCCACCTTAGCTGTACTACCCACCACCAATATGGGGGCAAATATTATATGTGTTTATTTTAATAGAGTGCTCTCTGTAAAATATCTCTTAAGTGCTTTGGACTGCAGTAATTTTTTTATTCCATTTTAGCAGTTACTGGAAGTGGGACTTTAAACAAAATGTTTTATGGCTTCAACTATTCCTCAAGCCGCCAATTAAGTATTGGTTCGTTTTCTGGTATTGAATAGTCCAAATCTCTGAGAGACATAACCTCTTTCAAACATCAATTTTCAAAAGCGAAACGGGACATGCTTTTGCTGATGTAATTCTCAAGAATCATATTTACAAAAGTTATAATATAACTATTAGAAACTTGTTTGGAGAGAAGACTACATTGATTTTTGCTGTTCTGTATATTTCTTAATCAAAGATACAACTATATATATATGTAGATAAAGACAAATGCCCTTAAGCTTACACCAACAAACATTACTTAATATCTCCCCTCAAGTTGGTACATGATACAAATTAATCATTCTCAGCTTGCCAATTAAGTAGTCATCTTGTTTCCAACTTAGCGGTTTTGTCATCAAGTCAGCAACCTGCTCAATCGTGGAGATATGATGAATCTTAATGATACTTTCTAAAATCCTTTCTCTTATAATGTGGCAATCTATCTCAATGTGTTTCGTGCGCTCATGAAACACAGGATTGGCCAAGATATGAATGACGGCAGTATTATTATAATACATACTAGTTGGGGTCAATGAATCAACATCCAAGTCTCCGAATAAACCAATGATCCATGAAAGTTCACAAGAAAGTTGTGCCATTGATCTATATTCTGCTTCAGCAGATGATTTGGACACAGTCTTTTTCTTTTTAGATTTCCAAGATACCAATGAGTTGCCCAAAAAAACACAAAATCCTGTCGTAGATCGTCTACTCATTAAGCATGAAGCACAATCACTATCACAAAAAGCTTGTAACTCCAATTTACTGGAAGAGGAAAACAATAAACCAGAGCCAAGATTCAACTTTATGTATCTGATTACCTTCATGGTAGCATCAATATGTGACCTTCTGGGTTTGTGCATGTGCTGATTAAGGAGTTGTACCACATAGCTAATATCAGGCCTTGTCATAGTTAAATAGATCAAACGACCTATTAACCTTTGATACACACCAGGATCTTCAAGGAGAGGATCAACTTTCTGCTCATCATTGTTGTCATATTCAAAACTAGTTAGCTTTGTGTTTTGTTCCATGGGTATGCTAGATGGTTTTACAAAGTTGAGGCCAGCTTCAGATATCAATTCCAATGCATATTTGTTCTGATTAATGCAAATTCCTTGATCAGATCGAGCTATCTCAAGTCCAAGGAAAAACTTTAGTGTGCCAAGGTCTTCAAGATGGAATTTTGAAGCAAGATAAGCCTTTATATGTTCAATGCTTGCCAAGTCATCTCCTGTCAACAATATATCATCTACATACAGAAGTAAAACTGTTAGTAGACCATTGTTCTTTTTGATAAAAAGAGAGTAATCATATTTGGATTGTTGAAAACCCCCTTCAATCAGTGTTACACTAAATTTCAAGTTCCATTGTCGAGAGACTTGTTTCAAGCCATATACTGACTTTTGTAACTTGCAAACTTTATGTTCCTTATCTTTAGATGGAAAACCAGGAGGCATTTTCATGTAAACATCTTCATAAAAGTCACCTTGCAAAAATGCGTTACATACATCCAGCTGATTTAAAGGCCAACCCTTAATAGAAGCTAAAGCTACAACAGATCTTACTGTCACCATTTTTGCAACGGGAGAAAAAGTCTCCTTAAAATCAATCCCCTCCTTTTGATTGAATCCCTTGGCTACTAATCTAGCCTTATACCTTTCTACAGTTCCATCATACTTATATTTTATCTTGTAAACCCATTTACAACTAATTGGCTTGTGATTCTTAGACAAATCTACCACTGACCATGTATGATTTTTTTTCTAAAGCTAGAATCTCATTTGTCATAGCTTCTATCCATAATGGATCATTAGAAGCTTTAGAAAATGAAGTAGGTTCAGCCAGGGAAGAAAAAGAAGAAATTAGAGCCAAATAATTGGGAGAAATATTATCATAAGAGACATGATTAGAGATAGGATATTTGATGGAACAAGAAGATTTGTTTGACTTGATAGTGGGACATATGTAGTCCTTGGACCAAATGGGAGGCTTGGACACTCGAGTAGAATGTCTAGAGGAGATTGATGGGGCTGCTTGGGTCAATGTTGGAACATGCTCAGTATGATCAGATATAGTGTCTAATGTAGCAAAATCTGTTTGGGCAATATTTCGGGATACTGGTTGTGTGGTATGTGGGGAAGCATTATTGTCCATTAGTGTATCAATAAGGATTTGGTCATTTGCATTAGGTAAAGGATAAATCGGATTATCAAAATCCACAACAACTGATTCTGTAATTGTGCACTGATTATTAGATGTAGATAATGCAAACATGAATGTAGACTCATAAAAAATGACATCCTGTAAACAAAAAAATTTTGTGAATCAAGATCATATAAAATATATGCCTTTTGAGTAACACAATAACAAAAAAATACACAAGCAATTGACCTAGATGAAAATTTATCATGATTATTAAGCTTTGTGGCATAAGCAAGACATCCAAAAACCTTAGGATGATCTAATGAAGGAGATGTGCCAAATAAAATTTCGTATGGTATTTTGTTTTTGAGAATGGGAGCTGGAATTCTATTAATAAGATATGAGGCAGTTTTAATACATTCTCCCCAAAACCTAGAAGGAATGGAAGCTTGATGCTTAAGTGCTCTAGCAATATTCAATATGCGTATATGTTTTCTTTCCACCAAACCATTTTGTTGTGGTGTGTACACACAAGATGTTTCATGAATTATTCCTGGAGATTCAAAGAAATTTTTTGTGTCACTATTAAGAAATTCTAAACCATTATCAGATTTGACTCTTGTTACATGAGTTTTAAATTGGTTTTCAACGATTTAAATAAATTTATGTAACAAATTGGTTGCTTCAGATTTTTAAGACATCAAAAAAGTCCAGGTGGCACGAGAAAAATCATCGACGATGGTTAAAAAATATCTAGCACCATTATGAGTTGGCTGTTTATATGGACCCTGTGAATCTATATGAATGAGTTCAAAAACACCCTTTGTAATTGAGTGACTGTGTGTAAAAGGCAATCTTTTTTGTTTTGCTAAAGGACAAATCATGCATTCAGTTATATTACAATCAGACAAATGTGGAATGAGTTTCATTCTTGAATTTGAAATATGACCAAGTCTTTTGTGCCAAAGATTGGACTCAGTATATGATGAAGAAAAAGTCAACATTTTATTCATGTGAAAAGAAATCGCTTTACATGAATCTGCATCGTTACAATCAGAATAAAAAACAGAACCATTTGAAGTAGTAGGCAAATCACTTATTTGTGCAAGATTACAAACTTCATTAGGAAAAGCTACAAGTTGATAAAGACCATGTTTGACCTTACTGATCCCCTTCAAACACTCCACTCGAGAGGTCTTGAAAAGTGCACAATTGAGGATAAAAAGTGATACTACAATGGTTTTCATTTGTAAATTTTGACACTGACAAAATATTATACTTGAAATCTGGGAAATAAAATACTTTATCTAAATGTGACTGGGAATTTAACGGAACTAGACCTATGTGAGTAATACGAGGTTGTTTGCCATTTGGTAGAGATACTAAGGAGTCATAATTAGAAGGAAAAGATACACATGATTCAAGAAGATTTTTGTTTGATGTCATATGAAGACTTGCCCTAGAATCAATAATCCAATTATTATTATTAAATGAGCTCAAAAGACTAGTATAAATACCTGCTAGATTTGTAGAAGGTTCTGTGTTTTCTTTGCTAAGTAACTTGAGAAGATTATTGTATTGCTCTGTAGTTAAAACAGGAGCTTGTATCTGCATTTGCTCTTGAGAGTTGTTGGATGTTGAAATGTTTGCGAAAGCTGGATTTGTTGTCTTGTTCCCTTTGGTGCCAAATTGTCCTTTGAGTTTGTAGAATTTATGTCCTTCTGGATATCCATGAAGGTTCCAACAATTGTCCTTCTTGTGACTTGGATTATTGCAATGCTCACAGATTATCAGTGGCTTCTTGCCCTTGTAATTTCCCCCTTTGTTTGCATTATTTGTGGAAATTAATACAGTAGTAACCTCATTGTTGGATTGTTTAGAGACAATTTGTCCTTGTGATGACTATTGAATAAGCTTGATTTACTGTGGGCAATGGATTCATCATCAATATTGTACTCTTACACACATCGAAGTTCTCATTGAGACCCATCAGGAACTGGAGAAGCTTCTGTTGTTCTTGAGGACCTTGATAAGCCTTTGATCCCTCACAAGCACAATTAGCCAAATTGACTATGGACCAATATTCGTCCCAAAGGACCTTTAGACGCGAATAATAGGCATAAACACTTTTGAGTACCTTGATTAACAAAGGCTATTTCCTTGTGTATAGCATATATCCTCGTTCCATTGACCTTATTGAATCGTTCTTTGAGATCTGCCCATACAATGCTTGCGTTTGTCTCATAGACAACCCCACCAAAAATTTCTTTGGATACTGAATTAAAGATCCATGATAATACGATGACATTTACTCTCTCCCAAAGAATGTGTAAAGATGAATCAAGATTGGATTTGGTACAAGATCCATTGATGAAGCCAATCTTGTTCTTGGCTGTGAGCGCAACAATCATTGCTCTGCTCCAATGTGAATAATTCACAAATCCTGTTAATTGTTGAGAAATAATCATTGCACCAGGAGTATCACTTGGATGAAGATAAAGTGGATTATGAAAATCAATTTGACTTAGTGACATCATAGTTTGCCCTTGTTGCTCCATTTATGCAAATAAGATGAATCAGAAGAATTAGGGCTAAGATGTGATTTACGACTATGAAATAGAAGGGAGATTAGGATCGATTAATTGCGATTATTGAAGAATTGCATAACCACTCTGATACCATATTAGAAACATGTTTGGAGAGAAGACGAAATTGATTTTTGTTGTTCTGTATTTTTCTCAATCAAAGATACAACTATATATGTAGATAAAGACAAATGCCCTTAAGCCAAAATACACAAATGCCCTTAAGCTTACACCGACATAGATTACTTAATAATAACAGTATAAACTAGGGCTGCAAACGAACCGAACAGTTTGCGAACAACTTGATGTTCGTTCGATAACTGTTCGACACTGTTTGGAAACAAACTGTTCGCGAAAAGTTCGATGTTCGTTCGATAATATGTTTGATCGAGTTCGAACATTGGTTGTTCGTTCGATTATGTTCACGAACGTTATACATTCGACTGATCCATCCGTTCACAAACAATCTGTTCGATTGTTCGTTCGTTTATGTTCGAAAAACATGGTATGCATTATTATAATTTATATTTTTTTTTTCATTTTTTTTCTTTTTAATATTATGTTTGGTTTAGTTTGGATGAATTTTTTTTTTAATGGTAATCAATAATAAAATATTATGATGCTTTTGTTTTTCTTATATATATAATATGTTTGGATTTTTTTTTTTTTCCAAATGTCATCAATAATTAAATATATAAGTATATAACATTTTAATTAAAAAGTAATAAATTATTATGATACATAGCATGACAATTTAATAACATAATAGATTGTATAATCAAGTGATACATAATATAATAAATCCAATAACATAATAGCTTCATATTTTTCCAAATGTAATCAATAATTAAATATTATAAGATAACATTTCAATTAATAAATAATAAATATAGTATGGTAGATTGATGAACATAACATATTGTACAATCAAATGATGTATAACATAATAAATTTAATAATATAATAGCTTAATTAAATATAGTATGATAAATTGATGAATATAACATATTGTATAATTAAGTGATATATAGCATGACAAATTTAATAATATAATAGCTTAAATAAATATAATATAATATGACAAATTTATGAACATAACATATTGTATAATCAAGTAATATATAGCATGACAAATTTAATAACATAATAGCTTAATTAAACCTAAATTAATCACACATTTGTATTGATTATATATTAACCCTCATACCACTATGAATTTATAGATGTTGATACAAAATATATATGTAGACAGTAATGATAATATATATATATATAACAAATTAATCACACATATGTATTGATCATATATTACAATAGACCCTCATTCCATTATGAATTTATGGGTGTTGATACAAAATATATATAACAAATTAATCACACATATGTATTGATCATATATTACAATAGACCCTCATTCCATCATGAATTTATGGGTGTTGATACAAAATATATATGTAAACATTTAAAATATTTATGATAATTTATGTAATGATAATAAATATATGATAACCTATAATTTTGATAATTTCATAACATATTTAAATTATGATTAATATATGTATGATAATAATTTTATATATACACAATTACACATTATATATATAACAAATTAATCACACATATGTATTGATCATATATTACAATAAACCCTCATTCTACTATGAATTTATGGGTGTTGATACAAAATATATATGTAAATATTTATAATAATTTATGTAATGATAATAAATATATAATAACCTATAATTTTGGTAATTTCATAACATATTTAACATATGATTAATATATGTATGATAATAATTTTGTATATACGCAATTACACATTATATATATATATATATAAAACAAATTAATCACACATATGTATTGATCATATATTACAATAGACCTTCATTCTACTATGAATTTATAGGTGTTGATACAAAATATATATGTAAACATTTAAAATATTTATGATAATTTATGTAATGATAATAAATATATGATAACCTATAATTTTGGTTATGATTAATATATATATGATAATAATTTTGTACATACACAATTACATATTACACACACACACACACACACACACACACACACACACACACATATATATATATAAACCCAATTTCACATTTTCCCTTACCAAGCCCAACCCAAATTTTAAAACAAAAATCCAAAGTCCAAACCCAATTCCACATTTTCCCTTACCTAGCCCAAAATCCAAATCCGTATTTACGAGTTAGTCGAACACTGGTCATTTTGTTAATCGAACGAACACGAACAATCATCATATGTTCATTCGAGTTCGAACACGAAATCGAACACCCGTTCTTACTTATCGAACGAGTTTCGAACAGGGCTGTTCGTTCGTGTTTGGTTCGAATGCAGGCTTAGTATAAACTGGCCTTTTACTATTGGCATCTGAGTAGTGTGAGGTTGCGGTTAACGTCTTACAAAAAAAAAAAAAAAACAAAAAAGATGTTGACCAAATATACTTAAGATACCAATACGATAGAATGGTTGCCCATTCTAAGCATTAGTGGCCGCCGCTTTAAGAGGGATTCTCTCACAAAAGGGTCACATGATAAAAGATAAAGCACAAGGCATTCAACGAGATAGAGACTGCCCCTTTTTTCATATAATAATATCGGCTGCTCATTTGTAGAAATAATGTTGACATTGTGTAGGGCAGCTATAAATTAGAGTTAAAAACACTTAACACCACTTAGGTTTAACTATACTTAGGTAGCTTGGCGGTTCATTTGAACTCTTAGATGTATATTAAAAAAATCATGAGTTTGAATCATCACGCTATTAATAAGGGATAGCTATTGAAAGTTTACATGACCGTTAACTTCAGCAAGCTGGCCTGAACACCCCCGAATACCAAAAAAAACAAAAAAAAAAAAAAAAAAAAAAAACCTCTCAAGTATTATATACTAACAAAAAAAAAAATGGAGTTTTTAAAATAACAAAATTTTCATTACCATTAATGAACTATTAATGAGCCTTTAAAGTTTACATCGTTTTTAATTAATAAATATTACCAAATTGTCTTCCTCCTATTGATTTAATACCTAAAAGAGAAATTAATGTTATTTTCGAAACCTCAAAGATATTTTTGTTATTTATTTATTATTATTGGACTAACTTAAGCGTACCTCAGCCAATCTTTCAGGATTCTAAAACTATCGATCCGATAAAAGTTCTAATGGCTACCCTTTTAACAACCTAAGAAGGACTCGAACTTATGATATCTTGAATAATACACCCAAGAGTCCTCATCGAACTACTCAACCACCCAAATATAATTAATATTTTTGTTATTTTATCATACTCGAAGAAGATTAATACCATTAACTCTAAATTATACTTTAAAAGACATCAAAATTCCCAATTGATTTTAGAAATGTGAAAAGGGTGACCTCCATCATAAGAGAGGAAGAAAATTTTATTATCAGCTATAGAATTTACAACCATCGTAACACAAACAAAGAAACAAGAAAGAAAACAATGTGATTTATTTAATTATAACCCCCAAAAAGTACCAAGCAGAGTGAATCTTGAATAAAGAGGAAGCTGTAAAGAATCAACACCCATCAACTATTTTACAAACAAACAGCGTTATCTTGAGAAATCAGAACCTTGAATGTTGTTTGCACTCAGAAGGGACACCTTGAGGGAAGCGTTTTAAATCAGTGCAGTAATTGTAAATCATGAAATATTTCTGAACCCATCTCAATCTTCTTCTGCTTGTGGCGTCAAGCTCATTGTTATTGGACTGCCATGCAGCATCAGACAATGAGGTTGATGATTTTGAAGCACAAGAAGTACAAGCAACGGCATTGAAATTGCGGTAATATGCAGTAAAAGGAGCCTTTGACCAATCAGTTTTCACAAGTCCACCTCTTGTAGCCCAATCGTCAGCATTCCAAAGACTTGAGTAAATCCTCATTGGCTGGTTCTTAGGGAATGGTACACCAATTGCTTCACCATTTTTGAATACCCTTATGGGAATGTTATCCACCAAGAAACTGAAACATTTAATTGATACAAATTAAACCCTTTTAAAACGAAAATAAACTAAACCCTTTAATTAAGGGACTTACATGATGTGTTGGCGTTTCCAGATGATGGAGTAAGTGTGGAAATTTCTGGTGGGGTCAAACCAGAGATAAAATTGTTGCTCTCTGTTTCCTTTCCTTGAGTGAACACATTGGTGTGAAGAATGTAAGGATCACCACTAACGTTTCCCAGGAACTCAAAGTCGATCTCATCATGGCTTGGCCCTTGAGAAGACAACTGCACCATATTCAGGGACACACGACAAGTTAAATTTAAAGGGCATAACTTCAATATAAAAGTGGACTCAAATTTATAAGGAATAATGTCTATTAAAAAAACCAAATTAAAGATTTTTGAATGGGACGGAAGCCTCCACTCATTAATATGTGTCTGTCCATGACCATATTTATTAAACATATTATTTACCTCCAAAAATTTTGTTTTGGATAAAACTTTTTCATATAAATTAACATATTTTAAGATGATTGTGTAATTTTAACTTAAAAATAAAATAATTAAAGAAATTATATGATAAACATGAAGAATTGTCACATTAGTTTAGAAGGAATAATTTGTACACTAAGATTAGTTTTGTTTTTTATTAGGAAAAAACAAAAATATAAACATAGACTCATAGCTTGGAAGAAAAAAATAAAAACACTTTCGGTGCGTCCAATCAGAGGCGTTGAATAATGCATGTGCAAATATATGAGACGCCTCATGATTGGCTAAATGGATATAAATCTTTACACCAAAGTTTCTCTCCGTTGCATGTGAGCACACAGTCGCTACCACTAAAAATCCATCAACTTTCTTGTGTGTATTAATATTTTTGGAACTATTGCTATTTCTAATTAAGCATTGATCATTGTATTTTAATATAATAATGAGGAGGAGGAGGATAATTTAAAAAAAAAAAAAAAATTAAAGGGGAGCAGAAAAAAATACATACATAATAGGCAGTAACAGTGCCAGCAGAGTTTCCAGCGACAAGTTTGAGCTGCATATCAATCCTTCCAAATAGATACTCTTTCTTTGACTGAAATCCAGACCCTGAAACTTTGTCTAAAGACAAAGAAAGAAGTTGTCCTCCATTAAAGACCTTGGCTCTATTGCCACCCCATGTTATATCGAAGTCTTGATGGAAGTTACCAGCAGCTGGAGAGGCAACCACCATCAAGCAACTCACTACCACAACCAAAGAAAAGCCATTGAAACCAAAACCCATTTTCATTTAAGTTTTATTTGGACTATGATAGCTTTAGCTTGTTATGAATTTTGATGACAAGGGAGGTCATATATATATATAGAGAGAGAGAGAGAGAGAGAGAGTATGGAATGGGATGGGTGGGCAAGGCCACGCGTGATTATTAACTCGAGGAGCTGCCTAAAGCTGTTGCCAGCTTTGCACACCATCACAGCTGGAACCTTTTGTTTGGGCATGCATTCTTTATGTCCTTTTAATTCTTTATTTACCATAGTAATTCTACTTAAACAGACATATATAATACTTTCAGGATTTATTAATTTTTGGATGATCAGATATTCAATCTGATTGGTACGTATTTAATATAATTTTTTAAAATTAATAAATACTTTATGTTGATGCTCGATTGCGCACCAACCAATTGTCACGTGTGTGACACTGTTTTATGAATTTTATGCTCGTGACAATGGATGCCTTTCACAGAAATAAATGAAAAGGGGCTTTTTAGTGGTTCGGATGCTAAGGTAGCAATCCTACGTCCACTGATTTTGTATTGATTTTGGTGTTGGTCAGGTCGCTAAGCGTACTGACTACAAAAAGTTATGAAAAGTGAGCTACTCTTCTCTTTTTTTACAAGTGAGAGTTTTGTTTTTTGGTAATGAAGTGAACCAACCCCCTTAATGGTGAGGTTTTTCTACATTTTAGTAAAATGGAAGCGTGTAATCATCATTAAATCTATGGGTTGGTGTGATTGTCAGCACGTCATCCATCTTCACGTCCCGTTTTCCTTTTTTCCAAGCTGACTTTGCATGACTTGCTGCAGAGAGATGGACGCTGGTAAGCTCCATGTTTATTCGCAGGTCTGACTGTGCGCACATTGTCCTGACAGGGGCAGGTTACTCCTGACGCCCTCCTTCCACGTCAGCTCTTTATTTTCCCGTGCATAACAGAAGCCCCCTAGTTTTTAAGGTTCGAGAACGAGCCTTGAAACTAAGTCACACGGAGACTTTGGTCGCTCCGACCTGGATGGACGGCTCGCCTAAAGACTCGTGCGAACACGGTCTCGCGCGACCTCGCGCGATCCCTTGCCCAAACGACCTGACAATCTTTATCTCAGCGACCTGGACTGGTTGGCGCTCCTTAGTAGTTCAATGAATCTGTCCCTGCGCGTCAGTGCGCCTCTGCGTTACCCGTGTCAGACACATTAAATGCGCGTGTGATGACCCGACGCCGTTTTGACAGTATTGACCGTTTAACCGCTTTGAAACTGACAGCCCTAATTACTGCATTAATGCGACGTGGGTTTGAAATGGCGCCCCTTTTAACGTCATTTAATGCGCCGTGGGGGCGCATTTAATGCGGAGGGTGAGGGAACTGCTGTTTCGACTCCGAGGGTGGTAACCGTCGTTTCGCTATCCTTAAAAACTTGGTATTTTTCAGATGAAGTCACCGAAATTTCTTTCGCTTTGGGTGACACTTTGGCAAACCAAGAACCATTTCTCCTCCCGATCGATGCTTTTCAGGCAACCGGAACGAGTCTCTGCCCTACTCCATATACACAAGAGTAAGGTTCTCTCCTTTTTTTTTTTTGGTATGGTTTGGTCGAACCACGGTTGGGTCTTCCGGTTGTTTCACCGGAGTTTCGACGCCGTTATTGGTTTCGAGCCGTGGTGGCGCTCGAATCACCTCTAGGTTTTAAGTATTTTGTCCCTTGCTGCCGCACGGGACAAACATGAGCCCAAATGACCATGTCTTGTCGATGTTGCAGACTGAATGGAACCGTCAACATCAGGACCGAGGGAGGACCAGCTCGTCCTCGCGGGAGCTCCGAGGACGCAGCTCTCGACGTCTATTCGGTCCTTACCTCCGAGGAATATGCCAGAATAAAGCGACAGTTCGATATCCGTACGAGGTGTTCCTCGACCACACTAGGCCGTCACGACGCCCACCACGCGCTTTGCCGCGATCTCTGAGGAGATCTTCAAGGGTGGAGGGGGATTCCCTTCCATCCTTTCATTAGGTCGGTCCGGATCATTTCGGATCGCACCATGCAGCTGACGCCAAACGCGTATGTCATCGCCGTGGCGATGTACATTGCGTGCTGCGAGAACGGTTTTGGGCGAGCCGTCGCCGCTGGAGCTCGTTGTCGCCTACTACCTGAAGAAGAGTGGGACAAAGAGTCTTCCTACGTGTCTCGGCGACCTAACATTGCTGCGGGGATACACAGCTTCCCAACAATGCGGAGGCCTACGAGACAAGGTTTTTCTTTTTCTTTAAACGTTCACCGCCACTTCCAGGATCCAAGTAGGTTTTCTTTTGTGTGGATTTGTTAATTGCTCGCACGATCGTTAGCTAACGACCTGTTTTCTTATGCAGTTAATAGAACGACCGCCAAGATTTACTCCGCCGACCCGAGCAGGCTCTTTCCTTCGAGTACTGAACGAGAACAGCGGACGCGAGGAAGCTTGTGACGACCGCGAACCTGCGAAGTACGTTTTTTTCACACGATAAGGCATCATTAGAACCCTTGGACGGTGGTTTGCTGGTAGCTTTTTGGGTCGTGTGTATAATTCTCATACTGACAAAGTTTAAATGCAGAGACCATGCCCCCAAAGGAGTCCGGGCAGTCCCGCCGAGCGCCATTTGTTTTCCCTCTCGATCAAGGAGGGAAAGGGAAAGGGAAAGGGAGGCCGAGGCTGCTCGCGCCATTCCCGCACAACCGCTGCGAACTTCTCGCCTTCGCAGCCTCGCCCTGCACAAGAAGCGACCAGAACAAACAGGTCGCTCCAGCACCTCCTGCTCGCCCCGGGCGGAAGGCTCCGGCCCAAAGGTCCAGAAAAGGAAACAGGTCCAGGTCGAAAGAATCGTGAGACCGAATCCGAGGAGGAGCCCCTCAGGACGCGCCAAGATCCGGAGCCGGGAAGGAACCCTCGAGCGGGGCGGTGACTGGCGACAAGGCGAGGACGCCCCTGTTCTGGACTCGTTCGGGAGTCTGCCCGATACTTGCAGCCTATTGTATATGTGCTCGAGAGCGACTATCGGGGTCGTATAATGAATTTGCAGACGCGGGTGACGACCTGATGGCCACCTCGTTTCAGCAGCATCTAGTAAGGTAAACCAGCTTACCTTGAATTCCTATTTTGATTTTATTTCTAACTCGTATACTGCTCGCAGGGTTGCTTGCGATGAGGATGTCCATGGAGAAGACCGGCTGGGGGCCGCAAAGGAACGAGCGACCTGAGGCGGAGGCTCGCGAAACTGAAGCAAACTTGGAGTCCGTTGAAGCGGAAAGGACCCAAGCGTTCGAAGCGGCGAATAGGTACCTGAACCAAAGGACTGCTGCTACGAACAGTAGACTTCCAGAGGCAGAGCTCGATCGGCTTGTCAGGAAGTCAGAGAACTTCAAGGACGACCGCCAGGCTTTCTAGAGAGGTCGGAGAGAAGGACCAGGAGCTTCAGGCGACCTTTGCACGGGCTCAGCGAGCGAAGAGGATAGGCGGTGTTCCGAGCAGAAAAGGCTAGCTCTTGAGGCCGAGCTCCAGGAGAGTCAACGAAGGTCCTCTCTCTGACTGATGAATGCAGAATCAGTCTAGGAGCTGGAAGAGAAGGCCGCGGACTGGGCGATTGGGTGTATCTAACACCCTGCGAGCAAGGAACCCGGACTTGGACATGTCCGCCCTCCCGGAGGGTTGGCAGGCGACCTTGCGGATTATGGCCGAAGAGACGACCAGGCTGCCGCGGCCGCTCGGGACCCCCAGGCGGTGGCTCTGGCCCGAAGGGCCCTCCCGACCAACTTAGGCTTAGTGTACTGTCTTTGTTGTAATCGGGTTTTTTGAATTTTCCTTGTAAATGAAGTTATCTATTCTTCCAGTTCGCTCTTTCATTATTTGTGTACATTTACAGTTTGCGATTTACATAATTGTCTACAAAGCGAACAGAACACATACGAACTGTTTTAAAAGCGAACACGGTAACACTTAAAAAGGAAATTTACAAAATATGATTTGTTTCAGGATTACTGATAGTACGGCCGGAGGTGCTCGGCATTCCATGCTCGGGCTACTTTGGAACCGTTCAACCTTTGAGATGGTAGTCCCCGGTCTAATTATTTTGTCGACCCGGTATGGACCTTCCCAGTTAGGTCCTAATACCCCCGCACTCGTTCTCTGGTCCCGAGAGAACTTCCTTTAGTACAAGGTCTCCGACCTGGAAGTCTCTTCGTTTGACCTTTGAGTCGAAGAACCTCTTTGCTCGCTGTTGGTAGGCCGCTATCCTTAGCGAGGCCTTTGTTGCGTGCTTCTTCGACCAGATCCAAACTTGCTCTCATTAGTCCTCGTTTTCGTTCTCATTGTACAAGTCCCTAAGAGACCCGGTTCCGACCTCTACAGGATCATTGCTTCAACCACCATAAGCTAGCGAAAATGGAGTTTCCGAGGTGGAAGTCCTTGGAGTGTCCTTTATGCCCACAAGACTTCGGGAGGTCGTCAGCCCAATTTCCTTTGGCTGCCCCGAGCTTGGCTTTCAGGTGTGCTTGATGGTCTTGTTGACTGCTTCGACTTGGCCTATCGCCTGGGGTCTGGCGACTGAGGAAAAATTTTTTAGGATGCCCGTTCGTCGCAGAACTGCCTGAACTCCTCATTGTCGAACTGCTTTCCATTATCTGAGATGAGGGTGTGAGGAATTCCGTAGCGGCACACTATATTCTTGAAAACAAGTCCTTTAGCTTTCTGGTCGTGATCGCGGCTAGCGGCTCGGCTTCGACCCATTTCGTGAAGTAGTCTACCGCGACCACGGCATACTTGACCCCCCCCCTTTCCAACCGCATGGGGCCATGGTCGATTCCCCACATGGAAAAAGGCCAGGGGCTAGACATAGTGATTAGCTCGTGAGAAGGGGCTCGCGAATGTTCGCGAACCGTTTGGCACTTGTCCACATTTCTTGACGAAGTTGTTCGCATCTTCTTGGATTCGGGGCCAGTATTATCCCTGGCGAACAATCTTGTTCGCCAGAGACCGAGCTGCTGTGTGTTACCGCAGATCCCTCATATTTTTTCCCTCATGATGTATACTCTGCCTCTTCACTGG